CCCTGCTCGCATCCCCTGCTCGCATCCCCTGCTCGCATCCCCTGCTCCGCTCGCTGCGGGCTGGCGGGAAATCGATCCCCGCTGTCCGAATCTCTGAAGCGCTCGTTCAAGAGCGCGCTGAGAACGAGGCTGTAACTTCTTTCCTTCCATCAACCCCGGGGCGGCTGTGCACCGCGCTGGGCATCACTTCGCTCAGGGGCTTTCGGTTTTGCTACTTAACAAAATGGCGTTACTCGTCCTACTAACTTGCATATGAATATGGTGACACGTTTTAATTGTATATTCACGTCACTGAACGCCACTGCTTCTATAATCCCTGCTTCAAAGTACACTTCGGGATCGTGACTGAAAACAGAAGTGCTGTGGAGTTAAGGATGTAAAATGTGGTTTAAGCAGTGACATGACAGAAAACAAGGACACCCTTTCTGTCTCAGAAGGGCTGTGCAGCCTGGAGGAGAGGAGACCTGAGAGTGGCCTTTCAGTATCTGAACGGGGGCTGTAAGAAAGAAGGGAACGTGCACATCAGCAGGGTGTGCTGTGACAGGACAAGGGGAAATGGTTTCACATTAAAGGAGGGGAGTTTTATGCTGGATATAAGGAAGAAGTTTTTACAGTAAGTTTGGTGAGACACTGGCACAGATTGCCCAGAGATGTGGGTGCTCCATCCTTGGAGACACCCAAAGTCAGGCTGGAGAGGCTCTGAGCACCTGAGGGAGCTGTTAGGTGTGCCTGTTGGGAGGGGAGTTGGGATAGATGGCCTTCTAGCATTCATTCCAACTAAAGCCATTCTGTGATTCTATTACAGTCTAAGCATGTGTACACGGTGTTTTATTACTATAGATTTGATAGAAAGCCAGGACACTGATCAATCAACTTGAATAACACCCTGTAGTATTTGCTGCTCCTTTGCAGGAGTTATTGAAATTTCACTTACTTCGGGCAGGTGCTAACAGGCTCACATGTACATCTTTAAATGTTTCAGAAACTCGGTGACAAGCATTGTTATTGTACTCTTTCAGGAAACTGAATGCAGAATTAGAAGCAAAAAGAGAAAAACTGATGCGTCAGACCGAAGAAGTCATGGTGAGTATGTTATGCAGGCTGTTACATAATTCAGCCTTGGTTCACATGGACGCAGGGTCAAGTTTCAAAAGAAATTATTTCGACCGTGACAACTAAAAGTAGTTTGGTTTCAGATTCAATCTAAGCTTTTCTTGCCTTTTCTCAACCCTCTTCCTTCAAAATTGTAAACTTTACTAAAAACACATGCAGTAATAGTATATAATAGAATTTCATCAGATAAATGGATATTCACATAACTGTGTAGAGCATTTGTGCACTTATACATAAGATCAGCTAAAAAAGCTTTTTATGATGGTTAAATATAGTCTCTGCAACGGTTTTATGTCTTAAATAAAATGCTATTTTGGTATTTGAAAACCAGATGCTGCAATAACTAGTGAAATACATAGCTGAAGCTGACAGGAGTACAAAGAATAAGCAATATAAATAGAAAATATGTACTTAGTTAGAGGGAAACTTTCTTAAAACAGAAGAAAATTTCCTGTTTATTGTTAGTATTATCTTTTAACATTAGTGTGGCTTTGGGCCAATTTTTATATGAAAATTGGTCAAGTTATTAAAAAAAAAAAAAGAGAGCTGGAGTGATCTGTTTTATACCCAAGACACCTTTAGAGAATGTTCCCTCCTTATTAGAAATTTTCAAAATATGGTTTCACTCAAATAAAAAAAGCTTAAAAACCAAAATATTTTGCCTATTTATTAAACTTCATTCTTTGTGTACTATGAAAGCATACATTCCTCTAGAGTTCTGGTAAGTTTGAACAGAAGCAGATGAAGCACCCAAAATAGCATCTAGTCTCTTTCCTTTGAAAAACAGCAACAACCAAACCACTTTTTTTCCCCCCTCTAAATGCAGCTGCAGATCAAATATTGTTGGGGCACTTAATAACCCATGTAGCACTGCCTGATTGCACAGATGCACATTTAACAACAAAAGAAAAGCAAGTCAGAATTTAAAAAGAAAACAGGATAACTACTTTTAGCTCTGGATTATGCTTTCTAACTGTTTCTTAGCAACACAGAAGCTATCTCAACATTTAATGTTTGACTAAATTGTTCTCTAAAGAACGTAACAGCATATCAATGTCTGAATTATGGCTATATTGTATGAATGAAGACTTATATTTAAGCCTTGTGGTGTAATACAGCAAACTGAAAGTTTGTTCCACTTGCTATGCATTTCTACCTACACATTTCAGAGAAAGGGAGGATAACAGCATCTAAGATGATAAGTTTGCAGAAGCTTTAAGTTGCACTTTCTGAAGCAGAAATAAATATTTGGGGATAGCAGCAGTTTTTTGATTTCAAGCTATCTTTTCTTATGTTTAAAAAATCCTTTTCTACAGTAAACTTAAGTGGCCATGTCTACTATAGTTTCACTGTGATATATGAATATATAATCTCTCTTTTATTGTTCAAATTCTCCCCAAATTTACTTCTGTCTTTTCCTTAATAAAGAAGAGCCAGCAAGAGACACTATCTAGACCAATTTCAGTACAAACTAAGTACTGTGAAGATGACAAACAGAGGTACGTACTTTACAATTGCTGTGAGTATTTCATGGGGAATCTCTGGTAATCATCTATACTCCCTGACTTGTCCTAGTCATGCTTTGCAGCATAGACCACTGAATTAGTGGAGTCTAAATATTATCCTATTGTTTTAAATAACTGATACTAAACCAGTGTTCCTTGTTTTCGTACAAGTCTTAATTTTGCTGAAATAGTCTATCTAGGAGACTAGGTAGTTCAAGTATCTGTAAAAATGCAAGTAACCAGTTTTGCTTATAAAGAAATAGTTTTTATCTTCATTCTAATTTTACTTGTCTTAAGTGCTGTGGAACAGGAAATGCACTGTTTAAAGAAATAGCAAGAAAAAAACCCACAACAACAAAGAAACACAAGATAGACAAACATTCAGCTGCCACCATCTGGAATTTTGATATCATTACACTTTACATACTTTTAATCTGTAAGAATTTATGCCTAAATGTGGGTTTTGGCCTCTATGTTCAAATCTGTTAGCTGTAGAGTGGTACCTGGCAGTATTTACTCAGTTGTTCAAAGATTTGTATATTGGTAGCACTGAAAGTGGCTAAGTTGGAGATATGCTAATATACAGTTTAATGGGGATCTGATCTACTATATTACCAAATTTGTGTGAAAAAGTCTGTGATGGAAGCCTGTACACCAGTAAAAACCTTTGCTACTACAGTAACAATCATTTCTGAGCTATTTTGAGGCTGTTTCTGAAGTTGTGAAGGTCAGGAAAAAAAAAAAAAAATAAAAATGCACCATCTCTTACTGGTATAGCCTTGCATTGTAAACATATTCTAGTGCATAGATCCTCTTTAGTATTATATTCTGCTGGCTGAATTTTGAATACTTGACAGAAGATTTCTATGAATTTCAAAACAAAGTTGAACTATAGAGTAACTTTACAAATTAATGTGATCAGAGGAATGAGCCCTATAAAGAGAGTTAGCAGCTATGGTGGTATACATTTGAAATAAATGGAAGTGCTGGAATCATTATGAAAATGTTGGTAAGTAGTGCATCAGAGCAGCAGCTAATCTACCAATTATCTACATAAATTAAAAGATCTCAAAACAGGCACTGTGTTCTGGTAAACAGGGACAGAAGAGAATTGAAATCCCATGCTGGAGTGAAAAAAAAATACAAGCGTATGTTAGAAATCAGGCACACTGATTATCCATGAGTGAACATTGAGGCCATTCAATTAGATTAGTTCCAAGTATTTGATATTTATTTTTCCTGCAAAATTATGCAAGCAAATATGCCATAAATCCACAGGAAGCATCTAAAATCTTTTTGAAGCAAGTTTCATTATTTCCTGTATGGAAAATGAACACTAGAGACACTGGAATGAAGGGAAAACATTGAGATTAAGTAAGAGACAGGATGAGAAAAAAGACGAGTGGCAAAAATTAATAAGAAAAATATTCAAGTCATTCTCTAGGGATGTATTTTAAAATAAGTAATGGAGGAGATTTTATAGCTCATTTTTTTGCAGAGAAATGTGAATTACCCAGAGACAAAGCAGCTCCACTGACACTGCATTGAAATCAGCTTTTGTTTACACTTTTGCTCTTCAGAGCATCACCAGGCTCACAGAGATGGGATCTGTGTGCGCATGGGCAGGCTGGGAATAGGATTAGCAAAACACAAAGGGTTTGCTCATGCACATGCACCTCGTCTGTACGTGCTGAGATGGAAATGCTAAACATTAGCTTCTGTTTCAGTGTCACTGCAACTGTCCAGCTGCCTATTTTATACCTTTTCACGTTTTACATATTCATTTCACTTAATGAGCAACTACAGAGCTGTATTGCAAGGCTTTAAAAAAGTGTTGTGGGAAAGAAGGAGAAAAAGCTCTAATAAGGATAAACAAACAAATTTAAGAAATTTGGTGAACGATGAGGTTTTTATTTGTTTTGTGAGGAAGGCTGGGGACAAGGGACTCAGTAGGAACAGATCAGTCTATTGATCAAAAGAATGCTTTGTTTTTTTGAGCATCAAATGTTGTATTTTCTTATTTTTCAGAAAATGTAACTGTTATTTCTGTGGCAACAACTCCTCACTTTCTACGTCTTCTAAAACTAGCCAATAGGAAGGGAGCATGAGGAAAATAGGGTAAATAGACAAAAACTAATCATCCTATTCTTGAAGTCTGTTGCCAGCCACACAGATAATTTCTCCTGTGCTGGTTTTGGTTTTGTTTGGATTTTTTTTTTTTTTTTCTTTTTGATTAGTACATTCTGGAGCTTTGTTCAGGTAATTCTTGTTGCTGAATGGGTGTCTAAAATTTTTTAAAGGCAAAACCTAAATATTTGTCTAGGTCAGCTGGACCGAAATGCTGAGGTGACTTCATGTGCCTAAAATTTAAAATTTATTACAAATATAAGCTTACATGTTAATTGAGGAGTTAGAAACTGTAAAAAGTGGTAGAAAAAGGTAATCATTCAGGGGATTGATAGAGATCTACGTAACTCTGAAAACAAAGAAATTGTACATCTGACATGAAACTTGAATAGTACACAACATGCTAAAATTTTCTGCTGTCTTCCAAAATAATAATCTAACCTGAAATTTGGTTTTCAGCCAAATAGATAAGAAAGCTACTCTTTCACTCTGTCCTCCCCGCTCCCCCCCAATCTATAAAATGGATACAGTATTGGCAATATGTATTTCAGAGGAAATTCTGTGAGACTTTAAAAATTTGCTTTAAATAAATTGCTCCCATCTCCCATTTATTTTACAGTCCCTGTCAACTGCCAACAGTCAATGTAAGCATTTCCATTCTCAGAGGTAGAGAACACAGGCCTATATCTTTATTGTTTTGCATTAATTCACTTATTGGAATGTCAGGTGAGCATCTGAGTCACTGAACTGCTGGTGATCTTTGGTCCTGTTGCCTGTCTCCTGCTGAAGCTGTTAAGGCTCCATCCATACACTAGCTAAGTGCTCCCTGGTACAGGGAATCACTGGTCATATTTGCTGCAGTTACCTGCACTGCAAGAGATGAGATTCAGATTCCAGTACATAAGCAAACTGTTGTGTTGGAGACCATAATGGAGTGATTATCCTAGACTCCTCAGGTGATTTATGCAGCAAATGAGATAGAATGGAAATGGGAATGAGACTGAATTTATGATTGGACCTGGCATATGTTCCTACATTCTGCTGATGGTAGATACATCTAATGTTACTCTCCTAATCCAGGTGATGGAGGATTGTTATCACAAAAATGTTGATTTTTGCTATACTCAGTGAACTTATTTTTTTTTTCTGCAGAGATCCACTCTTTCTTAAAGTTTCATCTCTTAAGCACTCTCATACCAAGGTATCAAACTCAAAATTATTCTAATTTTGCTTCTGCCTATTTCTTCTGTTTTGAGGCCGTGCTCTATGGGGCTTACATGGGTAGGGAGCCTGAGGGAAAGGATGCTCAGAGCAGACTGTTACAGGGACAGATGGAGCAGCATCTCCAATACTTCTGCAGCTCCACCACTGGTTAAGTAGGCTTCCATTATATTTCATTTTTGTATTTTAAATTTCTCTTCTGCAAAAGCTTATTTGTCACTTGTAAGTACGAAACATAATTCGTTTCTTCCTTTCCCCAGTGTAATACTAAGGGCAGTTCTACAGCCTTTTTGTGGTCAAAAGAATTTAATACGGGATGGAAAAGGGAGATTTAAATTAGGAACAAACTAACGTAACTTGCTGGTCTCCAATTAGAATTACAGTGAGTTTTTCAGCAGACAAATTAAAGTTTCCAGAATGTTCTTCACACTTACCATTTACTTGGATGAAAGAAACAAAATGTTGTTAGATCTTTCTTTAGAGATCTTAAATTACAACAGTACTATTTTTTTGGAAAAGGCATTTTTGAAGACACGATAAACAGTGTTCAAAGAAGCACAGTCCACAGCAACTAGTTAATAACTTGATAAAACCTGGGAGCCTTATCATCAATTAAGTTATTATTTATTATGAGTGCATCTGAAAAAGAGCCTACCAGGTAGCAATGTTTCAATGTATATAATTTGGGCATATGGGCATAAAATATGCAACATAATGACTAGTACAAATAAAACTGAAGAAATCTAAGATACTGAGACTTTGGAAATCATATGTTGGGCTTGAATATATGAAAAAGGGGGGAAAGAAAAAGACAAAACACATACTAGCAACAAGTCATTACTAACTAATAAAAATCCCTGTTTTCTGGGAAATTTTACAGCCATCAAACAAAAAGAAATGTGCTTCTGCATCCATGGTTCAGAATAGAACGTATTCTGGAAATAAAGGGAAAAGAATAACGTCAAGGTATATTACACATGTGTTTTGTTGTTGTTTGTAATCAAGAATTTGGGGTTTTGTTTTTATCTTAGCAGGGTGTTTTTATTCATACATGCTTCTACATTTATATATATATATATGTCTATGATATCTGTATGACAAAATGCACCAAATTATTTCTGTAGTCAGCTCCCCCAGGTAGCTGTCTGGTTACCTAAACTCACCTCCACTCAAGCTTTTCTGGAGGCTGACAAAGTTAAGCTCTGTCAATTCTGTCAGTAAAAGGATGCCCAGTGAGCACACTCAAAGTTCATCTGCGGTAAACAGAGTTCACAGCAGTGATGCAGGCTAATTTGTGATCAGACCTGTTATGGGAAACATGAGGCCTTCTAGCTTCTCTGCTATTTTGGTGAATCTAGGGCTACAGAACTAGAGAAAGTCAGTAACAGTACCTTCTGGGGTTTTCAGTTTTTGCTGAACAGCTACATCTCTGATAGCAAATTCAAGGTCATAGGTCCAAGAAATTGGGTTCTGAACAGAAGAGTAGAGAAATAATAGAAAAATGTTTGTGGATAAAATCCTGAGCGCAAATGAAAACTGCCACAAGAGAAAGCATGGACACATACCAAAATAGGATAAAAATGGTCTGCAGAGCGACAGAACACAGAATCAGTACTGGCCAAGAACATCTTTTGAGATGTGGGAGTCACTTGTGGACCCTTTCTACCTCCTGGATTCCACTGAGGTTGTTGTGCTGACACCATATAATGAGATTTAGGAATAGAGTTGCACAGGTGCAGAACCTATAAGGTGAACTTAGAGTGGTAGGAGAAGGTGACCTATGCAGCATCTGTGTTGTATGCATGTGTTCACTGCTGTTATAAAAACTAACATTTGCAACTTCTAGGATTAGTGAACTGTCCTATCCGATAATAAGATTAGAACTAACAGTCAAGGGAAAAAATTGAAATTTAAGACAATAGTTAAGCCCTAAAGAGCATTCCTGTTTCTTTTCCCTACTCTGAGGTATGAAATTGTTGGATGAGAAAGAGGCAGTACTAAAATCATCCTCGTAGAAAATAGTAATTTATCTGCTTCTACATTATAATACAAAGGCTGTTGTAATCATGTGGAAGATAATAGTATTTTACATAAGGAAAATGAGAAATTGCCATTGGTTAGTTTTTGGGAGAGCAAGCAATGAAGTTGCATTACATACAGCAAATACTGTATTTCTGTAATTTCTGCTTTGTATTTTAAATGTAAAACAGTGCTTTTGGGTTTTTTGTTGTTGTGGTTTTTTTTTTTGTTTTTTTTTGTTTTTTTTCCTTCTTGCTTGATTTTAGTTCAGAAATCAATCTGGAAACACAAAATGCTGATGATGTTGCAGTGTTGGAGGATTGCACTGGTTTTTCTTTAGCAAAAACAGTGAGTGAAATTGAAGGAAAAGTAGAGAAAGGAGGCTTGCCAGATTGTCTGGATGATGATATTATTCCAAACACTGCAAGTGAAGTTGGAGCAGGTAGGTTTCATATGTTATTTGTACTCCCTGACTGCTAGTAATGATTTCTCCTAAGGGGGGGAAAGAAAAAATTATGTAGAAATTATAGGGAAAGTTTTATGCCCTGTAAGTTATACTGTGTTAAAATGAAAAGGTTTTTCTTAAGTAGTCCTAAAGGAAGATGAGGTCATATGTGAATAATCATGGGGGAAAAAGTGAATTTTTGTCTTGATTTCCTTCTTTACAAGAAGACGTCTGAACCTTTAAAAATGTTGAATATATGGATAGCACAATTTCAGGAAGCAGAAATACATGATGCTCAGCTTATACTTCCAAAAAAAAATAAACTTCAGTTTTTTTGCAAATTCTGCCTTTAGAGAAAAGATTCTCCTCAAATCTGTGGATTAAGTGGCTTGAGTGAAGTGATGTTGCTGTTACAGTGCATGAATGAGGACCCTCCAGATATTTGTGCTCTGAGTTAATGTTGCTTTGTCCTAGAAATGGAGTGGGAAGGGAGACTGCCACATTTGCCAGTGAAAATAAAGGCATGATGCACATCTGTCTTTTTGGCTCTGGGGTGTTAAAAGGTTTATGTCATTTCTTACAATGACAAAGTAAGCATGAAGTCAGATTCACTGCAGCAATTGAAAAAATGCAAAAAAAACCCTCCTCATATAATCTAACAGCTCTGTGTCAGCAAGCATACTTACACAGAATTAGCTTGGTTTCTAACCTCATGTAATTGTGTTCAAATCTTTCTTTAAATCTCCCAATACAGATCCTCAGATTTTTATTTATTATAGTTCTTTTTCATTGCTTGGTACTGCAGTGGAATCTTACACCTCAAGGGGAGTTGTTATTGGTGCTCATGAATAGTGAGGATTATTTCTATTGCTTTAATGATGAAGTGAACTGAAAACACTGTGGAATGGCTTATCCTTCTAAAATTTGTCATTGCCTGTTGAGAACACCTGGAATGCCTCAGACAGCAGCAGTTCATCCTTAACATGGTAAAGAAATAGTTGCTGAGCAGATTAGCAGGGTAAATCTCAAAACCAGTTACAATCATCATAAGAAAGTAAACATATATACTAAGTAGCCCCTGTTACTGGGGGACTGGGCCCACACTTATTCTGAAGGAAGATTTTGTAACCAGGTCATTAATGCTAAAAGAAAAGCTGCTTACCCCTTCCCCTCCCCCTCCCCCCAAAGAAACACTAGCAAACACCATAAAGTTGGATTTAAAGCAAGCTAAACAAAGTATTTTTTCTATAGTCTGTAACCGAATTAGATAACCTACTGCCCCAGGACATGGTGAGTATCTACATATAATGTGTTTTAAGAAGGGAAACGGTAATACAGAACTACATGAGAATTAAATGTGATGTCTTCAGTATGTCTGCAGCTCAGGAAGTTACAATTTCAGCTGCACCCTACAGCTGATAAGGTGTGTGAAATAAAAGGAATTCTACTTAGAATTCTCTACTAGGAATTTTCAGAGCAAGCTAACAGATGTGCCCATCCATCCATTCCTATTCAGCTTCTGATGTACTCCTCCTCTCCTTCATTCTTCTCCCACTGTACCTGCTGTGCATAGTGGCCGTTCCTGTGTTGCTCAACTTGATCCTCATTTTGTTTCCATGCCTTGTGCATGGAAGTTCAAAGGCAGTTCCTTGTGAGTAATCCGTGAGAGAGTGGGGAACGGGAAGCAGGAGAACATGCTCTCTTCCCCTCCACTTGATTTGTCACAACGCTAGTATATGTTTTAGCTGCCCCATAGCAGGAGAGTAGTGCATTTGGGAAAAACACCCTCTGAATGTGTTGGATCTTAAATGGTTGAGTATTGTTAGAATTGTTCTTAAAAAAGCAGAGACTACTGCATAGATGAGTATTTACCTATTAGGAGGAATTTGCAGCCTACATTTAATTCCTTGGGAGCAACATAAAGTTAGTTGTAACTCACAAATCACAGTACAGATTGATTACACTGTAGAATTGTCCTATGATGTAGTTTCCTTGACTTCAAGCATGCTGTAACGTATAGTGCAGTATGACAAAAGGTTCCAGAAATGTTCAATTTTGAGAATTGAGTCTTTTATATTCTAGAAGTGCTGTTTTCAGACATTAAAAATAAAAATTTCCCTAAGCTTTCCCTAAGAATTAGAAACTTGCAACATTTATTTAGAAATGTTAGTTTCAATTTACCTATTTCTGTTCAGTAAACTACCAACACAGCATGCTTTTTTAAAACAAAAAAAAGAAAATGAATTGTTGTTACATTGCTCTTGTCTCATTTCTACATTGAATTATGAGTCCTTGGGGATATTAAGTGTAACTTTTTATCTCTGCAGAAACACAAATCAGGTTTCTTAAGGCAAAGTTACGTGTTATGCAGGAAGAGCTGGATAGCATCGTGTGCGAATGCAGCAGAAAGGTAAGTTTTCTTATCTGTGAAAAAACTCAGAGTCTGTCCCCCTGACAGTCTGAAATAGAAGACTGCAGAAATGAGGAGAAAAAGAATATAGATTTGTTTTTTGTAGTACTGCCCTGCTAAATTGGTGGTTTGTTTTCTTAGTTTGTCTTCACAGCTATTGTGAAATCCATCATGAAGCATCTCGATATTTTAAAATAACAGCACTTTTCAAAAATGATAATCATTATATCTGCAGTGCATATTTTGTAAATAGAAGTGCAAATGTATTGCTATCACATTTTTCTCCTGCAATCTTTTGTTTGCTTTTGCTAACTGCTGACAAACAGGAAGATGAAAATCAGAATTTAAAATCTCAGCTTAAAGATACTGAAGAAGAAAGGACGAGACTGCAACGAAAGATCAGTGTGCAGCAGTCTCAGACTGAGAAATACAAGATGTTATCACAAGAAGCAAGCAAAAAGTGTGAAGGATTACAGCAAGAGGTTGTTTCACTAGAAAAGGTATTGCAAATATGAGTCTCATTTATCTCACAGTGGGGGAAATCATCAGATTAGTCCCTTCAGACAAGTTCAACATATTTGTATCCAGCAATTCCATTCACATTTCCAATCTCCAAAAACAGCTTTAGAAATTGTATTTTGAAATTGTATTTTGTATCACTTTGTAAGAGAGAGAAATGATTGATTTTGATACTTGCTTTTCTTCTGCTTCTACAATCATACTCTGTATTTTAGCAAAAGATATGCAAGAGACAAAGCAACCTTTTCAGAAACTACCATGAAATCCATAAAGTCTTGAAAAATACAAGGAAATTTTTCTGACATTTTCTTGTAGTTGTTAAAAATTACTTCTGGTAACGATAGCTTTGGTGTAAATTGCAGAACTTGTTGAAAGTTTCAAAAACAAAACAAAACTACAAGTAGAGGAAAGGGTGGCTCTTTGTCCTCTGAAACAGTCTGTGTGTAAACCAGCCACTACAGGTTGGATGTATCAGTATTAACTTGCCCAGTCAGAGCAGACAGCCTTACACCCAGCTTTGTTTGTTTGGAACTTAATTTAAGAGTAGCATGTATTTTTCTGTACTTGCTGAGAGCTGGAGAGGTTGACAAGAAAATCATGTAATACTTCAGTCAGTTGGTTATATGTAATGTAACCAGGAGAATGTTAGACTCAAAACACGGGGAAGACAGAATACACTGTGCAGAATATGGTCTCTTTCCTCAGTTGCCTTTGCTTGGGATTTTTTCCCCTCACTTGCTTCAGTTATTCCTAATCTGGTGCATTTTCTAGAAGCTGACAAGGTTTCTCACTAGATTTGATCATGACAAATAATGGTACTACTATAAAACACTGAGAAGGGAGGGTGGAAAAAGGCAGTTCAGAAACAAGAGAGCCTGAAGGTTGAAGGCTAACAAAAAGCCCCTGCCCGTTTGCTTAACAGAATGTCTTTATGTACCCAAAAGTTTGATAGTTTTTTTCTTTAAAAAAAGTCTGTTTCTTTTTCACAAATGACAAGATGTGCTCTTTCTGCCAGAACTGCTTATTTCTTCTACTTTGTCTTTTATCTATATTCCCCAACCTTTAATCTCATTACTGTTTCTCAGCTTGGTCTCTTTTCCTTATTTCCTGACTTGCAGCACTAATACTTATCATATCAGAGATGAGAGGGAACTGTTTTGATTGTTGCCATAAACACTTGATGAACTACTTTCAGCTAGATGAAATAGTTACTGCCCTGAGGCACCTTAAGCAGGCTGTTTTAACTTCTTGTTGTTAATTACATTTGATAATCTGTGAGAAAAAGAGGTGAAAAAAAAGCAGCTGCATTAATAGTTGCTGTTCCAAAATCTGCTCCAGGTTGGACACAGCAGCACTTCCCATTTTTTGCACTGAGCATACAACTTATTTTTTTCCAGTCAATCCCATAGTCTTACATGATCAGTTCACAGTACATTTAAGGGAATGTTAAGAGATTTTTAGAAAGACAGACCCATTTTCAAGAAGTATAAGGTGAAAGGAAAAGGACATCAGAGTAGTGAAATTGATGTTATTTGATTCTGTTTGCAGGCCACAGAAATCCACTCAAATTCTCACGGATGACCATCGCTGTAAACGCGTTGCTTTTGTGGCATGCCTTAAAGTACCATGATTCATAATGTTTGTTTTTATCCTTTGCTTCCTGTATAGGAATTAGAGAATTTAAAGCGTGTACAAAAACAAGCTGCAAGCAGACAGAGTGCAACAGAGGTTCGCTTAAATAGGGCCCTGGAAGAAGCAGAAAAGTATAAAGCAGAGCTGAATAAACTGAAGCAAAGTAACAAGGTACAGTGGCTTAGAAAAACAAAGTCTGTGATTATTCAGTAATGCTAGAGGGAGCCCAGAGGCTTGATCAGCTTTGGAAGTATGCCATCGTTTACAGGCTACCCCAGAAGTAACTCACAACGGATCAGCAAGGGGCCTGGTAACTTATTGCTACTGATAATACTGCAGGAAAAGATGCATAGAATAAAATCAGAGCCTGTCTGCCCCTCTTTTTTGAAATTAGATGTGCCTGCAGAGAGAAAGAGAGATACTTAAACACCTAATAAGTACACAGGAAACTACAATATTAATCTACTTGTTAGAAGCCAGTAAATGCCCTCTTTTGAGTTTTTATTAAGTTTTGGTGAGGGAATATTTTAAGGCATCCAGTTTATTTCCCAATGTGTCATGTGGCTAACATCTGCCATTTATAATGTTATGCCAAGTTTCTCCAGTTAAAGCTTTACTTAAATGAATAATACATTTCTCACCTTCCCATGGCAGGATGTAGCTAACCAAGAACTCAAAATAATTGAAGAATTAAAGGCAGAAAACAAGAAACTGCAGAAACAAAAAGGAGAACTAATAACAGGTTTCAAAAAGCAACTGAAGTTAATTGATATTTTAAAGAGACAAAAGGTAAGAACCTAAATATAGTTGTCTTTCAAATAACTTGGCTGAACTTGCCTGTTTTCAAGTGATGCACTCACATAAATCACAGCCCCAAGAACAGAAATTTTCAGTGCAGCAGAACAGCTGCTTCACTTTCATTAGTACACATCACTGACGTCCTCTTTGGAATTGGCTCAATTCCTAACTTGGAACATATCCTGTCATGGTGAAAGATTACCACCAACAAGCTTTGAGACCACGAGTACCTGTTTGTTTAAGAAAAGAAATACTGTTCAGGTAGTACCTGCAAGCAGCTCCCTGTGGTGCTGCATCAATACAATTCATTTTAGCATTGAGTTTTGTTGTCTCTTTCTCCAGCATGTTTCTTATTCTATCAACAGCTGTACCTCTAGCGCCCTCTCACGATTAAGCCATTACATTTCAGCCCCACATTTTTCTTGGATTCTCAAAGTATGCCCTTATCTATTAATATTGCCTCTTGGTGCTTGTATTCTGAGGTGTTCTGTACATGTACAGATCTGGAACAAAGTGGAAGATCCTGCAGGTTTTGATGAAAGCAAATTGAAGTGAAAAGAGTATGTTCTAAAAGATGTTGCCCAAATAAAAAAAATATTTCCATTTATTGATGCATTTAGGTCTTACACTCCCAAGACAGCTTTTGCTTAAAAGAGTGTTTGCATACAATCCTACCTCAGTTTTCTTTCTGAGGCTGCACAGGAGACTTGCAGGGCTAAATGCCTCAGAATAGTGTAAATATGATCTTAATTTCACAGTGGTTCACATTTGCTTAGTGCTGAACCTTTATTGAGGCAAAGCACTGAACAGCATAGAATGAGAAGAATCAGTGGTAGAGTTAAGGCTCTTCTTTTTGCACTCACAAACCAAAGTTATCAGATAAAGAAAGCAAGGAATGGTGACTTGAGCAGAAGCACCTTAGAAGTAGTAGCCTTGACAATAAGAAAACAGAACATTTACCCTTTACTGCAGTGAGAACCTGACACTTAGTAAACACTTGAACTTGCTGAGCCTCCACAGAGAAAGAACAGTTCTCTATGAAGTGGCAACTTCATAACACAGACTGCACGTACTTAACAACAGAGAACCACACCATGAAAACACACCCTGGGATTTTGAATACATCTCCTACACAGAACAGAGGAGATCAGGTAATAGGAATAAGAACAACTGGGGCTGCTCACACGCTTCCAGTGCATGAGTTTTTCTGACCACACCAGAACCAAAAGAAACATTGGAAATAGTGTTAACTTAGCCGTGTCTTGCTCTCTTAACTCTTCAAAGTTATTTTGAGAATGGAAAAACCACAGCATTCACACAACAGATACTCCATACATGAGCTAACTCATTCTCTAGAACACCAACTCACTGAAATGAGCACCAAGGAACAGCATTTGACTGAACCAAAATCAGCATCAGATAAACTTCACAAAACTTACATTAAAAATTATTATAATACCACATAAAAACTGCAGATAATAGAAGAAACCATTTCCCTTCTGTTAATAAAAACATATACTCACAGAAAAAGATTGCTGTTAGTCCTTTCAGAACAGGCAGAGGGTCGAAGAACCTGAGAACAATACCAAATGCTGCCTTTATTCCTCCCAGCAGAAGGAACTGGGAAAGGCAGCTAAGCTCACATGACACCAATATATGTAATCACCAGAAGAACTTAATTTCATTTCACAGCAGCCTTTTGTTGAATTAAGGAAACCCTAGCCTGGCTGACTTGTGTAGTATATTTGTGGATTCAGATGCACCTCACATGAAGGTGAGGATATATTACTGCATGAAGAATAGTAGAAGAAAAAAAAATACCTAAAAAGTACTAAATATCCATTAGCAGGACAAGTTGCAGCTGCCAGCAAGTAGCTGTTGGTATTCAAACTGGTCTTTAGACCATCCTCTGCTTGCCTCAAGATCATAGAAAATCTTAGTTTTAAAAGGAATCTAGTGGAACTAAACCTGAGTTTTAGGCTATCTATCTGTGGGAATTACACATGCTGACTAGGCATTGTTTGGAACCAACAAGATGTGTGTACATATATAGGGAAAAATCAGACACCTTGTAGATGTGAACTGTTCCCGTTTCTTTCAGAACAGTCCTCGTGTTTAAAAAACTGTTTAGCCTGGACACTTTCCTTGCTACTTGAAATGTTGATAAGAGATGAGGGGGATGTGGCATATTTGGGATGTTTACCGTGACAGCAGCTGCAAAGCAGTGAGCTTCCAGGGCTTTCTGGCTGCTGCTTGCTTTTGAGTAATAGCTCTGTGCAAATACATTGGCCTGAAAGTCATCTTGATGACATTCTTGACAATTACAATTTTTAATCAAAAAGCAGCCCTGTAGTAAGCTTAAAATTCTGTTTGTTCCACTCAAAGCAATGTTCTGTTTCCTACACATATGTGCCATAATGGACCACCTCTGTACAGCAAGACTTACAGCAACACAGCAAAGGGTGGTCAGCTCCAGCCACCTCTCAGCAAGGTGTATTAATTTAATGCTTTGCTTTATGCTGATTATACTATTTAGGAATCTTTTTGCTAAAATACTAATTTAACATTAAATCATACATTTAGCAGCACTACTACTCTGACTGAATCTTAGTGACACATTTGATTTGTATAACTTAAAATTTAGCTGAATATTGATCAGCTTGAACGCATACAGTATTTCTTATGTGTTCTTTACGAGGACACAGGAATGGTCTGTTTTCCAGTAATTTCTATGCTCCATTAAAAAAATACATATTTAAAGCTATACAAAGAATTAAGAGAAGCCACTGATCCTTTTACTAGAGCTGAAGTTGCAATATTAACCATAAAATTTATCACAATCCTCACGTTATAAAATCAAACTGTTGCAAAAAATATGAATAGCAACCTCATCTTAAACAGGTGAGCCTCCACCAGAACCACAGCAGGAAAACACAGAGCAATCAATTTGCAGCCCCCTTCAGTCATGCAGGTCTTTGTCATTCATGCTGCTTTATCTTCTGCTCCTGATTTATGTTTTATTTCTTTTGAGATGCACATTGAAGCTGCTAGGATGCTTTCTTTTACTGAAGAGGAATTCATGAAAGCTCTTGAGTGGGGAAATGATTGATTCAAACTTGTTTGAAATACAAAGCAGACGGTACGTTGTTTTGGCACTGTAGTGTATGTTGATAGTTAACAAATACATCTCAGAGAATGGATTTTGGTGGTTTTGCTAACATTGAAATTATTTCACTTTCAAAAGCCTGACAGGCTGCTTTGGAATGTCACATGCAATACAGATTTCCTGTGAAGTTCCGAGCCCAGCTGTCTGTTCTGTAAGGAGCCAGGAGGCACACAGAGCAGGTGAACTTTGTTATCTGTTCTTCTGTTTTAGCATTCAAAACTGTTAATAAGGTAACATTCAGTCTAAAGAGAAGCCAGAGTGACTACAATCTGATACAGCTTATTGTTTGAAAGTTCCTATTTTATTTAGTCAAGGTAAAAAAAATAAATATAAATATTCATATATTTCTGTGGTCTTTAGATACTGGTAATGGATACAGTCAGCAGCAATGGCTCCGTATCACAGGTGCTCTACATGCATTATTTCCTGAAAAAGTTTATCATCTCATCATTATAACAGAGTATTAAATAAAAATGTGGGTGTAGATGAACCATGCGTATGATGTACACTAATGAACAAGAGTAATAAAAGCCCGTGCTGGTTAATGAAGCTTTGTTAAACCTCAGCTATTTCAGTGGATTCCTGAGAGTGATTTAGTAGAACAGTGACACACAAAGTTTGTTTGAAGTGAGGCTATTAGCAATGACTCTGCAAGGTGCTTATAGTGAGAGCGGGGCTGGTCTCTTCTCACTGGTGACAGGACGACGGGAAATGGCCTCCAGTTGCACCAGGGTAAGTTTAGGTTGGATATCAAGGAAAACTTCTCTACAGATAGGGTTGTGAAGCACTGGAATAGGCTCCCCAGGGAGGTGATTGAGTCACCATCCCTGGATGTGCTTAAAAACCATTTGGATGTGGTGCTCAGGGACGTGAGCAGAGGGCTGTTAGAGTTGGGGTAGTATGGTTAGGTCATGGCTGGACCTGATGATCTTTAAGGTCTTTTCCAACTTGAGCAATTCTATGATTCTATGACTCTGATCTCAAAATGAGAATTACATCTCAGATTTTACTAGCACAATCACGTGAGCTAGCAGTGGAAAAAGTAATTGTGATCTACCATTAGTGATTTGTATTACCTACCTTTAGATTAGTTATTTAACAGTACAATGCAAATGTAGATACTTCGTTAACTTACAAACAGAAACAGTGCATTAAGACAATCGTATTGTCTGTTATGTGACACCCATCTGAACTTGCACTACTTCAGGTTTCTGCCGTGGGCTGAAGAAAACATTTTCAAACACTGCTTCATCACTAACTCAGTTGTATTTAGCTGATAGATTATTGAGAAATCTGTAGCAGTTTATTCCTGAAAAATTTAAGTGCATTTAAATAAGATGAGCCGTTCTTCAGTTCAGAGCTCCAGTCTTAAAATGGAGATTTTTATGAGAATAAAAACGAGTTCCTTGCTGTTAACAGCAGGTAGACATTTTCATTAGCAATCAGATGACATCTAGTGGCAAAGCAGGAGGGCAGGCAGTGGAAATTTCAGCTCTCTTCAGAAGATGGATCATCTCTTCTCTTCTGATAAGCCAACCTAAACTCCTCACCAAGCATGTTAATATCATCTTCGCCTTTGAGTATTCCCTGGAGAAAGAAGCACCACAGAAGATAAAAAGAAATTAAACAGATAATTATGGATCTCTGAATTTTTTTAATGGAAACGATTGTATAGCTAATACCTTGGAACCTGTGTTATCTCTAAAACAAAAACAACAAATAGCTCTGAAAAGCATCACCAAGACCCAGTGGATGAATTTCTAACTGCTGTACTTGGTGCTAACCTAGAACTGCGTTTTTTGTTCAGGCGCATTGGGGTGAGAATCAGTAACGACTGTCACATAAGCAGTATACAAAAGACAATGTTTATCTGCATTCTGTTTCTAATAAAAGTGACTAGAGGCAGCAGAGCACATCTATAGGTTTAGCAAAAAATCAAGAAACTACACTGAAAAGAGGCACTGGCTTGGCTGGGGCTTCATGTCCACATTCAGGCGTGCTGAAGTAGTATTGGAGACTTCAGAGCTAGGAAGAACTTTGCCATCAATCCATTCTGAGTGAAGTCCCATGCAATGTGACACCCTATTCAGGTCTCATAAAAGCAGAGAAAGAACAGTAGGACATCAGTACCATGGGGCAGATATGAGCCATGGACGCTGCAACAGCCAAAGCTGTTCAACAACAGTCAACTCAAAGCAGGAAATTACATCAAAAGTAGTGCCCTTTTGTGTTGCACTTCCATTGCATCCTCACTGAAAATTAACTCTCTGAATCTCTACTTCCAAGTCTTACCAATTCATGCACAAAGTGAGTATAGTAATTATTTGATTAAAAATAAAATTTGCTATGTTTACAATGTGTTTCAGTACTGCAGGAAACAATTTCTTTAGACATCTGAGTAACTCCTTCCCTCCTCTAATTGCACCTTTACATCCTAAAAGCAGCTCTCTTTCATTTGTGTACCATCAGGTGATCTTCATGATGATGAAATGTACTATAAATTGTACTTTATTCATGTAACTAGAGTTGCTTCCATCTCTATAACCTTTAAAAAGACAAGGATGAACAGAATGAGCACTGACATTCTTGTGAGCCCTGCTGTTTGTTGCACTGTAACAGGGAAGAGGCCTCATTTCCATGCCAACAGAAGACAAACAAGGCAGCCAACAACACAGATAACTGCTCCGAAAACCCAAATGGAAGAAGTTGGTCAAAACTGTCTTATAGTGGAGCCCTTTCTAGCTGGAAAAGCCCTGCTTTAAAAATTACATTCCGTATCCCAAAAGCTTTGGATCTGCAAAGAGCTGTGGAAGCAATCAGCAAGCTCTGCACATGGCCTCAATAGGGCTACAGTACAGCCCAAAGCTTCTGTGTTCTTTCATCTGCTTTCCAATCCAAGGTGAGCAGACAAGAGCTGATGCAATAAAGATACTCACTCCATGTAATTCACATGGCTAACAACTTTACCTTATACTAGCCAAGAAAAAAAACCATTTATAGAATAAACATGTAAAGCATTTAACAGATAATCACTTACTCTAGGAAGATAACCCAGTAATTTAGATGCATGTTCTTTCAGGAGTTTCTGTCTCTCTTCTTCAACAACTGCACGAATGTTTGCTTGTCTTTTCTCCTCTAACTGCCATTCTTCAAGTTCATGCTCCTACAATAAACAAGCCAGTTTTGTTGAGTTTCAGCTCCATGAACATTTATTTCCACCAACAGAAACTAAGGATTAAAGAGGTGCTCTTTTTTTTTTTTTTTTTTTTTTTTTGTGGAGTAAATTTTGAACTTTCATTTAATTTTGACTCCTGGTCACAAGAAAATAGATATGAAAAGGATGAAAAGCGTGTATCAAAGAACCAAAGTACATGTTAAGTAGAAGAAGTATCTCCGACAAAAGAGAAGACTGAATAGCAAGACATGGGGCTGTAGTTATGCTATTTAAAAGCCCTTTTTAAAAGACTGGTAAGCAAAGCTCGGGTTCCTTGCCAGCCCCTAGACAACACAGTCTGTTCCTGCTTCACTGCTCTGCTCCAGGAAAAGAAAAACAGACACGTTCTTGTGCCGATGAGCAGAGCAGAAACCACAGCTCACGTTATACATGTACAGACTGAAAACTACAGAGTAGATGTTTTTAGTTCATGTAAAGGTTTTTCTTCCTCAGATGCTAAAAGGGGACACAGTCTGAAATCGGGGCTGGGTTCCCCCTTTTTATGCATCCTCAGTTGTGCTGGCTGATCAGGGAGGCTGAGCTGGACATTTGTGTCGCTGATCTCATGGCTCTTGAAGAGCTATTTGCAGAGCATGTCAGGTATACAATGATCTGCAGGCTCTAACCTTTTAAGCTCTAAGAATTTAGCTTTAGAAAGATGCCTTTCTTCCAGCACAACAAGGGTGTGTTTCCCACCCCTTCCTCATTTCTCTGCAGTTCTCCTGTCCTTTCCCTACAGCCTTGATGTAGGGTAGACTTTTCTCACGTTAAAATGGTTTGGTTCAGACCAAGGGTGAAACTGAAAACTTCTCTTACTTTATCTGCAATAAATTGTTTGTGACGGTCTTCAATAAGTTTTTCCACAGCCTTTCTGTGTTCAAGCTGTTTCATTCTTCGTTTCTGAGCATTCATCTGTTCAATACGATCATCCTCTGCAAACTTGGCCTGCATCTGCTGTCTGAAGGCTTCTTCCTCCTCTTGCACGGCTCGCTGCGCTACCTTCTTCAAAGCTAACTGCTCTTCGTACATTTGCCTTAAATCCAGGCGCTGCCTTATTCTCATCTCGATTTCTGCCTATGGAGAAAATTCAGTCAGATGCTGTATACCGAAAATTGTTTGAAAAAATTCATCTTCAGCCAATCTGATTTCTCAGAGAAGAAAATGACAGTGGCTGTCACTGTCTACATAATAAAAAACCTGGTACCGACAAGTGCCAAAATACCCATACTCATGTCTGCAGGAGTCCACGGAAAGTGAGCTCCCCCACAGCCAGCACAGGTACTGCTTCAGCTGCCTCCCAGCACTCACCATCTCCTTCTTTCTATCAGTCTCAAGTTGTTCTTCCAGATACAGCTCCTGGCGTATTCGTTCCACTTCGTCACGCTTCTGTTGCTCTCTTTCTAGATTCTGGGCAATCTATTATAAGAAGGAAGGATTTCTAAGTAAAAGAGAAAAATACACAATATGTTTTTCTACAACTTTAATTTTTAATACCATGGCCTGAAGTTGTTGTTTTTTCTCCTCCATGTCTCTAACTTTGGCCGTCCAATCTTCTTCTCTTTGCCGCTGACTGTTGGCAAACTCCACAATTTTCCTGTTTTCTTCTTCCATCTCTTCCCGTTTCCTCTGCCTCCACACAGCCTGTTCTTTTTTAAAAGCTTCAATATATGTCTGAGTTGCTCTCATCTTCTCTAACTTAAGCTGTTTTTCCCTGTGTAAAGTAAAAAACAAGAGAGTATTGTTATTTACCACACTGGGGTGTGACGCTGAGCAGACCACATGCTCACCATAAATAATATATTCTGGACTAAGATTTAAACGACCGTCCTTACCCATTCAGCTGGAAACTTGATGCCTAAATTGCAAATACTTACTAATGAACTACCTCTGAAAAGGAATCTTGTGTCTGATGCCTTTACTCAGGAGGACAGGCTGTACACACTGGTATTCACTGCTGCTGTTTTATACATGCTCCATTCAAACAGAACACAGAGAAGGAAGCCCAGCAGCCCAAGTGCCTCACAAGCTCTGAACCTGTTCTAAATGTACATGGAACTCTTCTCGCTTTCACTCTGCCCCCAGAAACCTCCTTCCCTATGTGTGTCCATAGGACCAGCACACAACATGTACCATGGGGAAGCAGGGATGGGAGGCGAGGTGGAAATCTGTGACGAGCAGTCATTTCTGGTGCAGTGAGAGCACCTTGAACATAAGCTGACTTCCTGTCTGGGTACAAGGACACAAGACAGACTGAAATAAGTGGAATATTCTGGCTCATAAAACAGCAAAATTCATGCAAGTCAACTTCTTTTTTCTAAAATTGGACAAGAAATACTTATTCAGTAGGAATGATATGCTGAAATGGCCCTTAGCCAAGGAAATAAAGCCTGTAATCCTATAAGGAACTATATGCAAATTAAAAAACAATAGAAATTCAAGTTTACAAACTTTTGATCTTCCTCATAGATCTTCCTTATGATTTCATCAATCATGAGTTTCTCTTTCAGAAACTCGTCATAAACTCCCTGCTTCTTCCGCTCCTGTTCCTCAAGCTGCTTCTCCAGCTCTTGCTGATAAATTATTTTCTCCTCGTTTCGCCTCAGTTCTGCCAAACTTTCTTCTTTTGCTGCCCTTTCATACTCTTCCTTCATCTTTTGGGCTATTTCAGCCTCACGTTTCTACAGGAGAAAATAAAAGAAAAAGCTATAAAAGATTCCTTTTTACTCCCATTATTACTTCCCACTTAAAAAATTACACAGCACAGGGAAGGAACACTGCACGATGAAACCAGTCTCTCTCCCCTCTCCACACGCTCACTGCCTCACCATGTAGAATGTCTCAGCTCAGGAGGAAGAACCTTGGAGAGAATCCCCGTTATATAAGCAACTTGAAGGCAGCTGTAAGTACTGCTAGGACCAAGCAGAGCATTCAGCAGGAGTGAAATGAGCTCATGTTGGTGTGATAACTAGAACGTAGCAGGACTTTGCAGAACATCCTCAGCAGAAGAGATGTTTTTACAGCAATTTGCTTAAGTTGTATTTTGTGCTAAACTTCAATGCACTCAGAATCTTCTGCCTGATCGCTGACATCACACGCACACAGAAGCCCACAGGTCTTTATAGAGTTACTCAGACGTGTTTAACAGCAGTGACATTTCCAACCGCTGTCCCTGAGGATTCGCTGCAATGACTGCTTACTGTACAACAACACAGCGCCTCCATTTAACCTCCACCAACATTAAGGGGCAGTGAAATCACCGCCGTGTCCCATCACACAGCTTTGCACACGGCTGCCTTCACCACAGCGCCAGGTGAGCCTTGTGCCACAGCACGCCGCTGGCTGCTGCACAGAGGATTTGGAAGCAGCGCAGGCAGGACGCGTGGGATTACCATTTTCTCAAACTCTATGGCTTCTTTCTCAGCGATCTGCGCCGCTCGCTCTTTGTTCAGATATGCAGATTTTAGTTTCTTCTCGAGTTCTCGAAGTTCAAGACTGAGAGAGGGGAAAAAAAAGATAAAGCGTATCACATTGTAAGCAGCCCGGTGCCTAAGGGCAAACGGCATTCGCAGGGCGGGAAGCAGCAGCAGGCAGCGGGCGGCTCTACCTGTTCTCCCGCACTTGCTGCCTCATCTTCTCATCGCTCAGCTTCTCGTGCTTCAGCCGCGCCAGCTCCGCCGCCAGCCGCTCCTCCTGCAGCCGCCGCCGCTCCCTCTGCCGCCTCCGCTCCTCTCCCTGCGCGGAACGAGGACGGCCGCCCCGGTTCGCCCCACGGCTCCGCACGGCCCCGCCCGGCCCCGCCCGCGGTTCTCACCGTTCGCACGGCCTCTTCCAGCCGCCGCTCCTGCTCCACCGCCGCCCGCAGCTTGGCGGCCCGCAGCAGCCCGCCCCGCTCCTCCGCCGCCGGCGGCAGCCCCGCGCCGTGCCACGCGGACGCCTGCGGGAGACAAGAGAGCGGCGGTGCGCCGGGCCGTCCCGCCGGGCCCCGACTCCGCCATCCCGCCAGCTCACCATGCCTCCTGCAGAGCGCGCGCCGCGTCGCCACGGCGACGGTGGAATGCGGCGGCGGAAGCGAGCGGCGACTTCCGGTCAGCGAGGGCGACGGCGTCCTGTGAGCGCGGTGCGGGCCGCCTGACGGCAGTTGTGCTCCGGGCCGGGCCGCGGGAAGCTTTGCCACGCGTTTGAGGCGTGCCGCGAAGCGCTTCTAGCGCATAGCGGAAATACGGGCAGAGACAGTTCTGGGACCCGCGCACCTCAGGACGGTTCGTGACTCTCCGTGCTCCCCCGCAGGCCGCAGACACGTGGCGCGCGCAGATGGCAAACAAAGGAGCGACCTGCTGGCCTTGCAGCCACCGCGTGCTGGGGAGGAGAAGCGCCGCAGAAACCCCACGGAAACCACCGTGTGCCCCTGGCCCCACTCTTACCCTTCAACGAACCGCTGGTCTCATCGCGTCCCCCTCCCCCAGGCCCTAATGCTCCCGCCGTCATTTTGCCCTGTATCTCCAGACCTGTCTATGGCCACCGGATCGGTGTCCCGCTGTGCCCCCAGGGCACAGCGCCCTCCTGCTCACTAACTCACACTCCCCTGGGCCATCCGCACACCTGCTGGCAGCGCAGGCACCCGGTGTCACTGATGCGTCCCTTCTCCCCTCCAAGGTCACCTTTGTGGATGAGCCGCCCCCACCCGCAGAAGCCACCTGCTTTGCTCTCCTAGCAGGGCCTTCCCACAAAGCGATCTGGCACTGTGTGGGAAGCAGGCCTACTTTTCCCTGTCCTGATGGCACCAACATGTTTCTCGCTTAAAGATGCACAGATTTAAGCTGTAGAACAGCAGTCCTGGGACAGAGCTGCTCAACACATCTGAAAGAACAGAGTAAGAACGGACTTGTTTTGCAACCAGCTACACTAGGCCCTTTACAGCCAAACTTGTTCTAATGATAACAGACACAGACGTGTCTGCTTTGCTGCAGTTTGGAAAGCAAAAAGTCCCAGCTGCATGACTACCATAAACTGCTGTTCCATACAGCACCACTCCTTGCAGCAGTCTGGCTGCAGCCAGACAGTCAGTGACTGCTGTACATACCTTCCTCATACAGCATCAAACACCCCCAGGGCCTGGAAGGCTTTGTGCAGCCAGGAGCACGCACAGTCCTTCCTCAGGATAACACAGCATTAACAAATGCTGTGGTTTTCAGTCCCAGTAGCACCACCAGCGATCAGCTCATCACTGCTGAAATCAACGCTGCTGAGGAATGAGAATTTGGCCAATGACAAACATGATCAAATAGAGCGTTACAGGGATAGAGGTGGTTCCCTTTGCTTCAGCTGCTTAAATTGAAGGTGATGCAGGAGCTCACAGCAGGTAAGGTCACTGAATGAGAAAGTGGATGCCACTCCGCAGGTTTACTTTTCCAGGGCATTTTAGCAGATCCTGCCATGTGACAGTGAAAAATGCGTTCCAGCTGAGAAAAGATATGTGGGTCATGCTGACTTTGCAACAGTACATCCACTGTGGGGGATAACAGTGTCACTGTGAGGTAATTTACCTTCTTCAGATGAAAAGATAAATGTGAATTAACAGGAAAGGGTCTGAAACATCTGAGCAGTGGTATTGATCTGCTAAAGACCCAGGTAAGTCACAGAGAAGCGCTTGCCTGCTTTCCCTGATGCGGGTGATGGATGGAACAGCAGATTTAGCAGCCAATGGGCTGTCACTGTCAAGAAAATCTGAGCACTAAAAATAATAATGATTTTTTTTTTTTCAATTATTCTGCAAGAGAGGGGAAAATCTGTGCCAGCGCAGCAGCAGGCAGAAGTTACCTTTTACTTACGAGATTACGGACTGTAAACAAAAGTACTACAAGGAACGAAGACAGTCAGTGCTTTAGATGCGCTCAGCAAAAGTACAGCTGTTCCTGATGATGTTTTAATATTTAGTTACAGCATTGAGTTTGCAAAGCACAAAGAGAATAAATGGAGCATCTCAAGCCAGAAAGGATCATCTTAGGAAGACATGACCAGAAACTCATCTTCAGGGGCAGCATTTCTCTGGCTCATCTATAGGTTTCCATCTCTGTTCAGCTGTTCTGATAGAGTTAAAGCTGTCAGCATCCAAAGACCAACACAGAATCATAGAATGGCCTGGGTTGAGAAGGACCACAATGGCCATCCAGTTTCAATCCCCTGTTATGTGCAGGGCCGCCAACCAGCAGACCAGGCTGCCCAGAGCCACATCCAGTCTGGCCTTGAATGCCTCCAGGGATGGGGCATCCACAGCCTCCTTGGACAACCTGTTCCAGGGCATCACCACGCTCTGTGTGAAAAACTTCCTCCTAATATCCAACCTAAAGCTCCCTTGTCTCAGTTTAAAACCATTCCCCCTTGTCCTATCACTATACACCCTCGTTAGCAGATGTACCCCCTCCTGTTTATACTCTCCTTTTAAATATTGGAAGGCCACAATGAGGTTCTCACCTCCCCACCTATTTTCCTATCAGTAATGGAACATAATGGAACAAATCAGAATTTTTATCTATAGTAACCTGTATCTACATGTAACATGTATTTCTAGGTAAACTCAGAGTTCTTTATTTCTTATTAACATCAATTCTTGACTTATAAAGCTCTCCAAGCACCTAAGGTGTGTGCTGATTCCACCAAGGAAACAGTTTTTAAAATAACAGGGTTACATACATTCCAAAGACCACAACGGGTGAATTCTGCTCCACAGACGTTACACTCTGACGTTTCTTATACAGAGGATCTCACTGGCTGTATGCACAATGATTATTGTTATAAGAGCAGGATAACACCAACACAACTCCTCAGCTATTCTGCTGGGAGTGTATTTAGGAACTGTAGAGTAGCACAACTTCATTTGATTCTGTTCTGTGCATGCAGATGGGTGAGACAATCCCTTCTAGCTTATGTGTTGACAAAATCATGTTTTCACCCCACAGTCTTACCTCTATACAATACTTGCAATTCTTCATTTCCATATTGGCATTAAATGCAGGTACTTCTTGAACCTTGCAGACCAAACCCTTCTGGACACTGAAACAAAAGCAGACAATCAGGACATTTTTCTTCACTCGGTTTCAGGTCATGATACAGCACTCAGGATTTGTTCAGGCTCAATGTGGGCACTCCCTTGGGCTCACTGCCCATTTCTTTCATGTCTTCCCTGTGTGTTTCTGTCCTATTATTACTACTCCTATCAATACCAAGTTTGTGGCTTTCTGCATCTCTTATCCTGCTTAGTCATGTTGTAAGCGCCCTGTATTCTGTAGTTCCTTCGTATTTCAATCTGTACTGCAGTTCAATTCCTTCTTACAGATATCCTGAAAAAAGACAATGACGACACCCCCACCACCAGCCAGGTTTCGTACACCATCCAACAGGAATGTGTTCCATTCAGTGAGCTGGGAAATGAGCTCTTACAGCACACAGCACACTCCGAGCTCCCTGCCAGCTGGCTGATGGGCTGCTGGATCTGCACGGGTTATGGAGCAGGGCATTTTCCTCTGCATTTGGCACAACTTCGCTAGCATACGATGATTAAAAAATAATTAGAGCACCATGTCCACCATGCTCTTTTTAATCCAACCAGCAAACACAGGGGAATATACAAAGTACGATCACCAGGCTTTCTGCTTCACCTGTAATCACTCTCTTTTTTTAAGCAAATGTCTGATGCAGAACACATACACAGGATTTCGTATGACTACTTCTGTAATGGCACTTCTGCTCTGCGCAGCAAGGGCTTTATGCACTCCCAAACTCTTGTCCCCCCAGTTAAACTGAAAATGAGTTGAGATCCTAAGTTCAGCTCTGCGATTCTGTCATTCAAGCAAAAGAAATGAGCTCCTTCTGATGCAAATTAACGCTGACATCCAGCCAAGGATCTACATGTTGATGGGTGTGGAAGCTGGGCACATAAAACCTCATCCAGAAGCCTTTATGTAGTTCATTCAGATTTTTCAATGTGAGCTCTGATTTATTTATTCTTCTTCCTTATAGTAGCCCCCATAGTAAATGTAGTAAATGGTGCACCCAGTAAAAAGGTGGGATGGCACCAACACCCTGCACTGCCCACTTCATTGGAAGCACCAAACCCAGGTGTCTGCATGTATCTTAACTGGAATGCAAAGACAACAGCAAGAGAAGTGCTTAGAAGAAAGCGGCACCTCTCTCCTTCCTGCTCAATGCCATCAAACACAGTAACTCCAAAGAGTTCATTTTAACATTTGTGGGTAATTCAATAGGTGAGGGACTCGAAAGAGGGATTCAGCAGAGAGGGAAAAAACTAAGAAAGATGTCATGTTCCAACTTCAGCGTCTAACAGAGAATTTAACAAACTAATCTGTAACTGCAAACCTAAGCCACAACATGGCTGAACTAATGGGGAGGACAACTGAAGGGCAATAAACAGAAACGTCAATCCCAGAAAGGGCTGAGAGCAACGTGAAACTGATTCTGATCTCTCACACTGGCGCCTGGCCCTGCAGTCAGCCCTACCAGTGCCACAAGCCCTGGGCTGCTGGAAGCTCTGCTTTCCCAGCCCTGTGCAGGGACATCTGTGGGTCCTGGGGCAGCTCAGTGCATTCCCTCATGTTTTATTCAGAGCCCTTCAGAGAAAAGAAGAGCACGCAGTGGTTAATGACACATTTCACTGCTGGTAAAACAGCAAGTTGGTGCTAAAAGAAATGCAGTTCACCAGTTGGCTGGGCAGTGGCAGCTCAGCATGAGGCTCCCCACCTCGCACCCTCCTCCTCCACTGCATGTGTCACCAGAAGTGGGGCTCCCCAGCACCAAAAGTTTGCTCACTTTCCCACCCCACAGCTGAGCTCTCATCCTTCCCTTACTTCCCTACATCAATGCATCTCACCTGATGCATCAAGTAAGGCGAGCTGCTCACCTGAAATCAGAAGATGATGCGCACACACTGCAGGAACTCCACACAGAGTTGGTCGTGTGCTGATGCTTTGTGCAGTGCACAGGCTTGGTACTTTTTGAAATGAACAGTTCATCTGGAATTACATTTCTACAATTTAGAAATCAAACTTAACCTAATTTGCTGCAGCTGGACACCACCTGCAGAGTACTGTTTAAGTACTCTGAACATTACATACTTATCTTTTAAATATTGATAATGCCATTCGTCATTTATGTGACATGCAGTCCCACAGGGAATAATTATGCTAATTAAACCTTAATGATTCTTGCAAATAAATGATCAAACAAAATTGCTACTGTTGATTTATATTAATGGATGCCTTTAGGAGGACATTTGTCAGGATGTGCTGCTTCTTGAATCCCAATTCATCTTATTTAGCAGAATAATGTACATAGTTTGTAAAACAGATTAAGCACTTAAAATATAATGTGTTTATAGAGTTTCTGCAGTTCATAACATTCAAGTGTTGTTATCTTGCCTTATGGCAATCTGCATTAAATGCTTTAATGGTATATAACTTTTTCTACAGTTT